CTCCTCAGCCGCGAGCACAGGGTTCATTCACCGCATTCCTGCGTGCTCATTCCTCGGCCGTCGCGCTCGAGTCACCCCCCGCCGCGTCGCGCGTGGCTCTTTAGATAAAGCTACAGACTCGTCATCGATTGTGCTTTTTGTAGGCTCTCTTTCCTCCCGCCATCATGTCCGAGTCCACCCTCCATCCACCGCGGCTGGCCCCCCTCTTTGCGGTCACGCCCAGTGCGCCCGGCACGCCTGTGCATTCCATCCAGACGATGCGCAGGAAGTCGGCGGGCCACTCGGGACCCTTGACCAAGATTCTCGTCGCGAACCGTGGTGTAAGTGCCCCTTTTCCCCCCTTCGCGCCTGTATGTCACCTTAGGAGCGTTCGCGATGCTAAAAACGCGTCCACAGGAAATCGCCATTCGTGTTTTCCGTACCGCACACGAACTCGCAATGCACACCGTCGCGATCTACTCGTTCGAGGACCGGCTCTCTGCTCACCGTCAAAAGGTAATCCCACAGGAACCTCGTCCCGTCGGAGTCCCGTTTACTCACGGAACTCCTAGGCGGACGAGGCCTACCAAGTCGGCAAGGGACTCACACCCGTCGGTGCCTACCTCGCTCAAGAGGACATAATCAGAATCGCGCTTGAGCACGGCGTGGACATGATCCATCCCGGGTACGTTCTCCCCGTCGGTCCGCACAATTAGGGCCTTACCCCTGTGATTTCGCCAGATACGGTTTCCTATCCGAGAATGCCGTTTTTGCACGCAAAGTCGAACAGGCTGGACTGGCCTTCGTGGGCCCCAGCCCGGAAGTCATCGATGCACTCGGTGACAAGACCAAGGCGCGTACCATCGGTAAAAACACGCGCATATAACCGCTTTATCGTCATATCTGACCCACCGGTGTTCAGCAATGAAAATCGGCGTGCCAGTTGTTCCCGGTACACCTGGTCCCGTGGCTGAATACACAGATGCACATGCTTTCATTGAAGAGTACGGGTTCCCCGGTAAGCTTGTTCGCCTCTCGACGAATTAACTAGAATTCAAACCCAAGCATCGTAACTAGTCATCATCAAGGCCGCGATGGGTGGTGGAGGCCGTGGTATGCGTGTCGTACGCGAGATGTCCGACTTCAAGAACTCTTTCGAGCGTGCAGTTAGCGAGGCTAAATCCGCCTTCGGTGACGGTACCGTCTTCATCGAGCGATTCCTCGAGCGCCCCCGTCACATCGAGGTGCAGCTCCTTGCTGATGCGCAAGGCAACACCATCCATCTATTCGAGCGTGACTGCTCAGTCCAGAGGCGTCACCAGAAGGTTGTCGAAGTCGCCCCAGCCACCCACCTTCCTGAAGAAGTCCGCCAAGCTATCTGGAGCGACGCTATCAAGCTCGCGAAAAGCGTTGGTTACAGAAATGCCGGTACCGCGGAGTTCTTGGTCGATCAAATGGGCAGACACTACTTCATTGAGATCAACCCCCGTATTCAGGTCGAGCACACCATCACCGGTACGATCTTCTAACTCGACATATATGAATGCTCCACTTACACATGGATACAGAGGAAATCACCGGTCTCGATATCGTTGCTGCTCAGATTCAGATCGCTGCAGGCGCCACTCTCCCTCAACTTGGCCTCACCCAAGAGGCTATCACCAAGCGCGGTTTTGCCATCCAGTGCCGTATAACCACTGAGGACCCTGCTTCAAGCTTCCAGCCTGACACAGGTAAAATCGAGGTTTACCGTAGTGCTGGTGGTAACGGCGTCCGTCTCGATGCCAGTTCTGGCTTCGCAGGTGCTCAGATCACTCCCCACTATGACAGTCTGCTCGTCAAGTGCACTGTCAGCGGTACTACTTACGAAGTTGCCCGTCGCAAGATGCTTCGCGCCCTCGTCGAGTTCCGTATCCGCGGTGTCAAGACCAACATTCCCTTCCTCTTCCGTCTCCTCACCCACGACGTCTTCATCGGCGGCAAGACGTGGACTACCTTCATCGACGACACACCTGAGCTTTTCAAGCTTGTCCAGAGTCAGAACCGTGCGCAGAAGCTGCTTGCTTACCTCGGCGACCTTGCAGTCAATGGTAGCTCGATCAAGGGGCAGCAAGGCGAGCCTGGCCTCAAGGACGATATCGTTGTCCCGGCGTTCCAGAGCCGCGACGACCCTGAAGGCACCCCACTCGACGCCTCGCAGCCATGCCAGACCGGCTGGCGCAATATCATTGTCGAGCATGGTCCCGAGGCGTTTGCCAAGGCAGTGCGCGAGTACCCCGGCGTGCTCATCATGGACACCACATGGCGTGACGCACATCAGTCCCTGCTTGCTACGCGTCTGCGTACGATCGACATGGTCAACATCGCGAAGGAGACTAGCCACGCGCTCTCGAACGCATACAGTCTCGAATGCTGGGGCGGCGCAACGTTCGATGTCGCGATGCGCTTCCTGTACGAGGACCCTTGGGAGCGTCTGCGCACCCTTCGCAAGCTCGTTCCGAACATTCCCCTCCAGGCCCTCGTCCGTGGAGCCAACGGTGTCGGCTACACTAGCTACCCCGACAACGCTATCTACGACTTCTCGAAGAAGGCGGTCGAGAACGGTCTCGATATTTTCCGTGTCTTTGACTCGCTCAACTACATTGGTACGTACATTCCGCACCATCTCGGGATCAATAGCCAAGTCCTGACCATCTTATAGAGAACTTGAAGCTCGGTATCGACGCTGCGAAGAAGGCCGGTGGTGTTTGCGAGGCCGTCGTCTGCTACAGCGGTGATGTCGCTAGCCCCAAGGAGACCAAGTACACGCTCAAGTACTACCTTGACTTCGTCGACGAACTTGTGAAGGAAGGTATCCACGTGCTCGGTATCAAGGACATGGCTGGCCTGCTTAAGCCCGAGGCCGCCAGACTGTAAGTAATTTTCGGCTTCCCGACCGTCCACGTATTCATGATCATGAAGGTTGGTTGGTGCCGTCCGTGAGAAGTACCCCGACCTCCCGATCCACGTCCACTCGCACGACACCGCAGGTATCTCTGCCGCCTCCATGATCGCCGCAGCGATGGCTGGTGCTGACGTCGTCGACGTCGCTATTGACAGTACGTCGACGGGAACTCGTCGCTTCCCAGATACTAACTTTTTCCAGGCATGTCTGGTCTGACCTCCCAGCCTCCGATGGGTGCCGTTTGCTCTGCTCTTGAGCAGACCAAGCTCGGTACTGGTATTCGCTACGCCGACATCCAAGCTCTCAACCTCTACTGGAGCCAGGTCCGTATCTTGTACGGTTGCTTCGAGGCCAACGTCCGCGCCTCCGACTCTAGTGTTTTCGACCACGAGATGCCTGGTGGCCAGTACACCAACCTGATGGTACGTCGCAATTAAGGTAGGTATGGTGTCAAGCTGACTTGCTGCTTCAGTTCCAAGCATCACAGCTTGGCCTGGGTACTCAGTGGACTGAAATCAAGAAGAAGTACATCGAAGCGAACGAGCTTGTGAGCGACTTCACAAAGCTCCGCCAACATTTACTCATGACGTTGTCTAGTGTGGCAATATCATTAAGGTCACGCCGTCGTCAAAGGTCGTCGGAGACTTCGCGCAGTTCATGACTTCGAACAAGCTGTCCAAGAAGGATGTCCTTGAGCGCGGCGAGGAGCTTGACTTCCCCTCTTCTGTTGTCGAGTTCTTCCAGGGCTACCTCGGCCAGCCCGTCGGTGGCTTCCCCGAGCCTCTGCGCTCCAAGATCATCCGCAACAAGCCCCGCATCGATGGCCGTCCTGGCGCCAGCATGGCTCCCTTGGACTTCAAGAAGATCAAAGCTGAGCTGCGTGCCAAGTTCGGCAAGCACATCACCGACTCGGATGTCACATCCTACGTCATGTACCCCAAGGTCTTTGAGGAGTACCAGGCCTTCCTCGAGAAGTTCGGCGACCTCAGCGTCGTGCCAACGCGTTACTTCCTTGGCCGCCCCGATGTCGGCGAGGAGATGCACATCTCGATCGAGCAGGGCAAGACCCTCATCATTCGCCTCATGGCCATCGGCCCCGTCGTCGAGGGCCGCGCACAGCGCGATGTTTGGTTCGAGGTCAACGGCGAGGTCCGTGCGGTCTCCGTCGAGGACAAAAACTCTGCGGTCGAGACTGTTTCCCGTGAGAAGGCCACAAACGACCCTGGCTCTGTCGGCGCGCCCATGTCGGGTGTCGTCGTCGAGGTACGCGTCAAGGAGGGCCAGGAGATCAAGAAGGGCGATCCTATCTGTGGTATGTATGTAATGACTACGCACCAGGTTGGTTACTCAGAGCATTCTCTCGATAGTCATGAGCGCCATGAAGATGGAGTCGCCTATTACTGCACCGGTATCTGGACACGTCAAGCGCGTCACTGTCCACGAAGGTATAACATTTTCAGATATCCATACAACGCATCTTGCTCACCGTTCCCTCGCTAGGCGATTCGATCAACCAGGGCGACCTCGTCACGGAGATTGTCCACTGAAGTCAGCAATCTCCCATGTTCCTCTTTGCAAGACTTCATGCATTCCTCGCAACTTACATTCGCTATATCCTTGGATTGGTTGTATTAGTAGAATACGAAAGAGCAAAGAATACCGCCCTATAGTCTGTCGCAATACAAAACATGTACTTTTTATACCTTTCGTACCTTTGTACCTTTGTTCAAGCAATACAAGTTGTCTTACACTTCTATTCTGTGTGAAGCCAATATTGTGCCAGCTCCTGCGCAATAATAGGATGGCTCAAGTCAGCTCAAGTGTCGTAGTAAATGCCAGTGGAGCACGTACTACTACGATTCGACCTGCGCGCGTTCGAAATCCTTTGCGTGATAGCAAAAGTATATCATTAGTGATACATAGTATATATGCCTGAAGATAATATTGTCATGTTATACATCACATTGCTTACCGCAAGAGTACGTTGTGGACGTCGTTGCGATTGAATTCTAGCTTTGCAAAGGCGATAACCATTTTTTTGAAATCTTCATGATGGCACGCCTCGCTCCAAAAGCACGGCTCAGTGGTCTAGTCGCATGATTCCTGCTTCGGGAGATTCCCCTGATCAACACGATCAGAAACTGCAGGAGGTCCCGGGTTCAATTCCCGGCTGAGCCCTTGTTTTACTAGTTTTAACCAAGTACCATAAATCCCTGTGCGCACTGCGCAGTGTGGATGATCTTCACTAGTGCACAGTGAACGTTGAGCATTACTCGCGGGTCACTTGTTTGTACATGGTCACCTACTCCGACGAGTTTCACAGTTGTGCACATGTCTTGTTCGCAGTCCCCATAACAGACTATCACCCAACGCTATGTAAAGTGACTTCTATCAAATATCGCTGCACTGAGGGCTACTGATAATGCGGTACATTATCAGAATAACAGTAGGGGGCTGGCCATGCATCCTACGCCAAACACCGGGAAACGCAGAACAGTCACGGCACTCTTACCAACCAAAGATCAAGTCTGACATCTGTCCGAGCATACTCTTGCTCGGAGAAAACTGTGCCCCGCCAGGCTGCGCACTGCCGTCCCCAGGCCGTGGAATCCCCAGCTGAGAAGCAGGCCCAGACCCAGGTTTTCTAAAAGCCGCCGTAGAAGGCGCGAGCTTGATGGGCGTGCCGACGATGGGCGCACCTGAGCGCGCAAGAGTGCTGACCGTGAGGTCGGGGCCAGAGTTCGAGGCGAAGCCGCGCGTGGGGGAGGCGGGGGACATGGTGACGTCCGGCGGGGAGGGAACGTCGGGCGGCGATGCGTACGGGCTTCGAACGCTGAAGCCTAGGACAGCCTCTGCTTGTGCTGGGTCCTATATCCAGATCGTTCAGTTCAATAGGAGACCGAGGGGGAGATATGCACGTACTGCCCACTTCACACCGATCATCCACGAGCCACTGAGGACCTCGCCGTTCTTGCGGACTGCTCGCATGGCCTCGCCAGGGTTGCGGAAGCCGATTCGAAAGCAGTTGGTGATATCAACATTCGGATCCGGCTCAGTCGTGTCCCCGAGCGAACGGAAGTAATCTATTGTCGCGCTGTACCGATCTGGCGGGTAGCCGAAGACGATGAGGTAGAGTGGCTTCGCAACGGGTGTGGCGGATTTGGGAGTTGCAGGTACTTGACTTTGCGAAGGGTGGAATAGAGAAGCACGAGCGGTAGAGTCGAAAGAGAACGTCTGCTGTGCGCGTCGAGACGAGGAAAAGTCGTAGACCTCAGTAGGAATGTCGTTGACAGATGACATTGGAGGAGCATCCTCGTCTGCAATGGTTTGCCTCTGCCTGTGTCTATCATGGCCTAAGTTAGCTTTGATGTGCGGAACTAGCAGAAAGGAGCCAGCATACCTTGTGCTTTCAAACATGGAGTCCATCCCGAAATCAGCAGCCGCAGCTCCAGTGAGCGGGTGGTTCATTTTGGCTTTTGTGGGTATAATTGGGACGTCATCGTATCGTGGGCTCTGCGAGGATGCCTGCATGGCGAAGGTGGATTTAGTCTCAGCGAAGACAGAACAAAACTGAGTGGCCCACAGAGTTCTGAGTTACGGACTAGACATGACAACAGGTTAGCGCGATCTGGTCATTCTCGAGACAAAGGAGCGACGTGCCATGAGGTATCCTGGCTGGTAGTGGCTACGCGATTGCGCGAGGCTGTCCCCAAGCGTGCCTCCTACGCCCAAACCACTTCCGCCCGCAAGTGCACTCGAGCGTAGACTGGGACTATGCATGACACCTTGGTTCTGCATGCCGGCCACGCTGAATGGTTGCGAACGGGAGTGAGGGAATCCAGATCCATCATGGCCCTGATATGCTCCAGAATTGCTGGACTGGTACGACGTGCTCGAGTACATCTTCCGGTTTGTGTCGTCTGCAGGGGTGAGGAGTAGAGGTGGTACTAGGACTTGTCACACTTCGTGAAGACGATGGTGTGACAAGAGAACCACGCTTCGTCACGGTAACGCGCTGTGCGTGACGGTGCGATTAGATTTGATCCATTGACAATCCTCGATCGCGAGATCAAGAGATTAAGACGGCGCTTAGCTCATTGGACGGATAACTTCTCGTGCCTTCTCGCTCTGGCCTGGCAAAATCTGTCTGCAGCTTATAAAGCCCTATAGTCGAGGTAGGCTGATCCCCCTTCACAAATTTGTAGTACTCACGTACAGATACCCCTGCTTCATCGAAAGGCTACCTAACATGGCCGAGGACACAGAGACAAAGCACAACTTCTTCCCTGAAATCGGCAAAGTGGCCGACGAGACAGCCCAGCAAAATGCTGTAGAGCAAGCGGCTCCTGCAGCTGCTGACGACGATCAGTCGCCTGTTCAAGTGATCGAGTCTTTGTGCATGAAGTGCGAGGAGCAGGTACGTTATCCTGATTCTCATAGCCTGTATTGACACTCATCTGATCAAAGGGCACGACCAGGCTACTGCTCACTAGTATCCCCTTCTTCCGAGAAGTCATCGTCATGTCCTTCCGATGCGAACACTGTGGCTTCCAGAATAATGAGATCCAGTCTGCAGGCGTCATTCGACGTGAGTCCCCTGCTCTGGGATCCGCGTCTCCGGTATGCTGATTATCGTATGTAGCGGAGGGCACGGTATACACTCTCCGCATCCTCTCAAGAGAAGACCTCAACCGCCAACTCGTCAAGTCCGAATCATGCACCGTCACGATCCCCGAGTTCGAGCTCACCATCCCCCCACACCGCGGTCAGCTCACCACCATCGAAGGTCTCCTCCGGGACGTCATCGCAGACCTCGGCCCAGATCAGCCCCTGCGGCGGATACAGGACGAGGCCACGTACAACAAGATCGAGGCGATGCTCACGAACATCAAGGAGATCCTCGCCGACGCCGAGGACGAGAACGCCGAGGACGAGAACGCCGAGGACGCGGTGGGCCCAGTGCAGGTGCGGAAGGCGTCGGAGAAGGCACCGATGCGGTCCTTCACCGTGAGGCTCGACGACCCCGCCGGGAACTCCTTCCTCGAGTTCCTCGGCAGCATGTCGGACCCCAAGTGGAACATGCGCACGTACCGCCGCACGCGCCAGCAGAACGTCGACCTCGGGCTCATCAGCCCCGACGCAGAGCCGGATGCGGGGGAGGAGGGCCCGATTGGCGGGGGGCTCGAGGGCGAGAACGAGGAGATATACACCTTCCACGGCTCATGTTCTAGCTGTGGACACCCTTCGGACACCCTCGTCAAGAAGGTCAACATCCCGTACTTCAAGGACATCCTGATCATGTCGGTCAACTGTGATCTATGTGGTTACCGCGACAACGAGGTCAAGTCCGGCGCTGCTATCTCACCAAAAGGCAGGAAGATCACCCTCAAGGTCGAGGACAGGGAGGATCTCAGCCGCGACATCCTAAAGGTAAGCATCCGCGCTGACAAAACCTTGAATCGAGCCCGCTGACTCGTGCCTTCCAGAGCGAGTCGTGCGGCCTGGCCATCCCCGAGATCGAGCTCGTGCTCCAGCCAGGCACGCTCGGCGGCCGCTTCACGACGCTCGAGGGCATCCTCAACCAGGTGTACGAGGAGCTCTCCGCAAAGGTCTTCAACGACGCCAAGACGGACAACGGCGCGTTCGAGACGTTCCTCGCGCGGCTCAAGTCGGTCAAGGCCGCCGAGCGGCCGTTCACGCTCATCCTCGACGACCCGCTCGCGAACTCGTACCTGCAGAACCTGTACGCGCCCGATCCGGACCCGAACATGACGTCCGAGGAGTACGAGCGCACGTGGGACCAGAACGACGACCTCGGTCTGAACGACATGCAGGTCGAGGGCTACGAGGGGGACCCGAACCTCGAGCAGAACCAGGAGAAAAAGGAGAAGGAAGCGGCGCCGGCGTCATGACACCGCCCGGGTCTCAGAACGAAGTGAATGGATGACGATGACATACAGTCTTGTACTATAGAGATGTATCAATACACAACTGCCGCTGTATTGTAGCTACAAAAGTCCTAATGAAAGCACTGCTACCGGCTATAATACATGGGTCGATCATGACGAGGCAGATCATACACCAGAAGGAGGCATAACGGGTCCAATCAACGCAGACTGTGGTTCCTCGACGTCCAAATCCTCCACGGAAGAGACGTTGTCGACGAGTTGGTTCCCAGCGTGCACACGCAGGTATTGACTAGGTGCCTTGAGCATCGTGGGCTCAGCATGTTCGAGGACAGCCAGCTCCCGCTGCACGTCCACGATGCTCTCCGACAGCAGCTCCGGTGCAGGCAACTCGATAACCGAATTCAACGCAGCGTCGACCAACGCACCAATCGACGCGTGCAGTGATAACGAAGGCTCGGGTACACGCGCATCCGGCGCCGGCAGGTGTGCCAGAGGCTCGTCCGTGGTGGGTACCGCGGATTCCCGCAGGGCAAGCTCCTCGAGGGACTCGTGCGCCACACCTTGTGCCGTCGAAGCGTCCTCGAAAACTAAGCCCTCGGTTGGTGGGACCGCCGGCGGCGAGCCTGCATCTTCTGATACGGCAGGCGCGCCACCTGCAGGGGCGGGGCGTTCGAGCACGTCGGGCGCAGTAGCGGTGGACGCCTGCGGGGCGACGTCGCGGTCAGGCAGCGCGTCCCAGGCTGGGGCTTCCGGGTCGGCCGTCGCAGCAGCCCGGGACGGCTCGGGGTCAGCAGCCTCTACAGACTCTCCGAGCCCCGGCGAGGCCTCAGTTGCCTCGACGACAGCTGGCTGCTCTTCTCGTGCTTCCCCGCCACTGACGGGCCCGCCTTCCGTAAGGACCGGGCTGCTGGCTGCTTCTTTGCCCCCGGACGCGTGCCCGGTTCCTGCCAGGTCTCCACCCGCCACGACGACGAAGTCATCGTCCTCAGGCGGTGACGTAGACACGCTATCGGCCAACGTCTGCGAGTCGGCCATGTGTTCCGACCACGAGTCGTCCAGATCCGTCATGGCCTCGCCGTCGGCAACTAGCACGGGGGCCTCGGTCATGCGAGGGCTTGTCTCATGTTCGACAGGCGCAACCGAGGCTGCGAGCAGCTTGCGCATCGTCGGTCGGCCACGGGGCTCCTCAGCGAACGCACAATTGGCCGGCACGAGGGCGCGTTGATTACGAGAGGTATCGAACGTGAACGCGGTGGCTGTGCGACGACG